CATATAATATATGGTGTGTGTATATATATATATATATACACCATATATTATATGTATTTATGGGACTGTTGACAACTCCATGGAGAGATAGCACAGATTCCATTAAAATTGCCATTTCCCTCCCCTGACCATATTTCCACTACCTGTCCTATCTCAAACAAGCCAACTGGATCTGACTGGATAATCTTTTTGTTTGGCAGAGATTTTTCTATCTTATCACTGTGGTGTGTTGAGGAGAGGTGTCCTTGCAGAGAAAAAAAATTTAATTAAAAAACAGGCTTTTAACCCCCTATAAGGATTGTTCATTCATCCTCTCATCAGGGCTGATTGTTGATAGAGGATTCTTGTGATGATTTCAGAATAGCATATATAATAGACATGTGTGTTACAGTGCCTCAGGTAAAAAGAGTTTAAGGGGGAAAAGAAGGGGAAGAGAGCAAAATCATGGGAAACTACATATATACACTCATGTGTGAAAATTGCAACACCATGAAGGAATTGTCAGAAATTAATGAAATATATTCCACATATTACTGATAGTGGTACAAGTAAACGATTAAATTTACAACACAAAAAAAACAAAGAATGTCAGAGATTAGTACTTTGTGTGTCTGCCACGCTGAGCGATAAGAGCCTGTACACGTCATGGCATTGAATTGTACAGGTTCTGAATGTAATCCTGGGGAATGGCATTCCAGATGGCTTCAACTTGATGCCAAAGTTGTCTTATTGTGTACCCCACCAGCTGTACAAACGAGTCGCCGACCAATGAAATCCCAGATATGCTCGATGAGCAACATATCCGGGGAATAAGCATGCCATGGAAGAAGCAAAACCTGTTGTGCACTGAAGAAGGCTTGTGCAGTCCAAGAAACATGTGCATGGGAATTATCCTGCTGAAATACAGCATCCATAATGCATTGAAGAAGGGAGAGGACCTCTGGCTCCACAATTTCCCATATGTAGCGATCACTGTTGGGGTTGCCCGCAATGTGCACTAGATGGGATCGACAATTATACCCAATAGCTCCCCACACCATGATGCTAGGCATTTGTGCAGTATGATGCCAGATAACACACTGTGGGAGCAGACGTTCCCCTCTGTAACGTCTGACATGTACTCTTATATCATTGTACTGCATATTGTAGTGAGATTCGTCGGAAAAAATAACTTGTTGCCACTGGGCATGCCACATGCTGTGTTGCTGAGCCCATTGAAGTCGAAGGCATCTGTGAATCAGCGAGAGGGGAATCCTGCATAGAGGAACCTTTGCACACAGTTCATGTTGCAGCAGATGGCGACAAACCGTGGAGCTAGACAACAAAACACCTGTAGTCATACTCCAGCATTGTGCTAACACATGAGAGGATGCTGTACGGTCCGTCTGTCACAGCCATGTGGATGAGGTGTCTGTCGTCCCGTGCCGTTGTGTTATTGCTTGCCCCACTGCCAGGTTTTTGCCTTATTTGGTTCTCCTCTGTCCATTTTTTCCAAACATGCATCCCTATTGTGGCTTTACGCTGCGTGCGGGCTGCAATTTCTCGATACAAAAATCTACCCTATCACATACTGACGATGCAGTCTTGTCCGAACTCCATTAGTTGTTGGTATGGCTTTCTCCGCTTTTGACGAGGCATATTGACCACCAATGAAACGTTTACTGCAGACAGAGGACAAAAAAGGGATTTCAACGCATCTTTACAGTCCTTTATATACCTGGAACAGGCGGCTGATAAGGAGCCGATTCTCGTTCCGTGTGCAATCGCTTTGTAATTCTACTCATTTGCATGTCTTACCTCACTATACATTTCCTGTAAGTTTGGTTCAATTTGCACAATTCCTTCATGGTGTTGCAATTTTCACAAACATGAGTGTAGTTTAAATAATTAATAATAGGTACTATATTAATATCAATTATGTTTCACCTGAATTTACTAATTCACTTTTACATTAATTAAAGTTTAAATTATAAATAACACTAAACATGTGATTATTATTATAAAAGGAATTATTTATTTTTATAAACGTCATTATAAATTGTTATTGAAGAACCATATTACAATGCTTAAGATCAAGTTTGATTCTTTTATCAGATCTGAGTTTAAAAAATAATATAATATAATATGCAGATAAAATCTATGTATTTATAATTAAATAAGTAACATTAATATTACAGAATTTGCTGTTAATAGTAAATAATAATAAAAATAATTGTTAAATTGTTTTTAATGGGCATTAACAATTTTATTATAATTAGTGAAGATTCTTAAAAGTTTATTATAAATTTAAATAAATGCAAATAAATGCATATGGATAACTGTTAAAATGTAATAATTCAAATTTCTCCATCTTACTTCATTTTCTGATACATTTATTTTGAACATGCAAAAACATTTCAACTTTGTATCAACCTCTAAAGTGTTTTAAATAAGGTAAATGTAATATCATAATTGTTCAGATTGATATGAAAGATGTCATAACAAGTGTACTGTAATATATTTCTTCAATTTTATAAAAGAAAGAAAATATTCTAATAAGTCAATCTTGTAAAGTAATGAACAAAAATCTATGCAAATGGCAAAATTTATAATTGGATAAGTGGAAATATATTGATTTGTAATAAAGCAATTTTTTATATTCTATATTATATTATATTATATAATTATTTTAATTGCTTTTAAATAAATATATGAAATTAACTTAAAACAAAAATTAGAAAAATATTATTTTGTATTTCAAAAGAAGGAAAATTATTCTGTTCCTGAACAGTATCTTGNTTGCCACCTAGTACAAAATGGTAGAGTTCGTTTCAAACAACTATTGTACATCAACGCCATGACAGTTGCGCGAAAAATCCCGCCAAAGACAGTCATATTGTAACATGACGTCAGAATACTAGTCTGAAACGGACTCTAACACACATGAGCGAGGCTCTGGCCCACAGACCATCCGTTTCAGACTTGGACACTCAATGTTAATTTTTTAAACAGTTTTTTTTCGTTTAGTAACTAAACGAAAAAAAACTGTTTAAAAAATTAACATTTTTTAAAAAAATTTATATATTTGAAATTTGGAGTAGGCTACATAATAAAACTTTGTTTTAAGTTTTAATGTGAAGTTTATATATTTCAGGATACAGGCGATACAGTTGGAAGTGTATTAAGAGGATTTTTCACAATTAATAAAAAAGATCCAGTGAATAGATTACCTACTTCATCCACATGTTTTAATCTGCTTAAACTGCCAAATTACCAAAAAAAGAGCACTCTAAGAGAAAAGTTACGATATGCCATAACCAGTAATACTGGTTTTGAACTTTCATGATATGACATGTTGATCAAGTATTTATGTAACAACTGTGATTATTTAACATATAATACACAGACCATATCAATAGAAAGCCAATTACAAAATATGTGAACAATGAAAAAGTTAAATAGTATAAATATATATTATATATATTTATCATTATGCAATTATAATAATTCAAGGATTTTATTAATAAAGATAATTTGGATTATATTTTGAAAGAATAAGATTGTTTCATTTGTATGAAATAAAATATAATGTTACTGTGTATATATCTATATATATTAGTAGGTAAAATGAAGAAAATAGTTATGTTAGTGTAAAATAAATTTATCAAATATTTAACAGATGTTTTAATATAAGTTATGGATAATAAAATTTTTTTTAATATATAAAGATTATTTGAAAACTCTTGGCAATATAAGGAGATATTTAATCTTTCTAGATAAACCTGTTGTAAATAAAAGTTTTTTAATATCCATTACTATTATTATACAGTATTCATAGAAATTTTATTAATTTAATCACTAATTAGTGTGAACACTTTATAACTTTAAAGCAATCAATATTTATGCCAAAAAGAAATAACCACAATTTAATTCATAAAGAACAAAATTTTAAGAATTAAAAAGTAATTTTAGACATATTTAAGTATTCAAAATTATTTAGTTTTATTTAAAATGTAACTATGGAAAACTTTTTCATGTAAGACTGGTTTATAAAACAAGTTTGCCAAGATTTTCAAATAATCTTAATAAAATAAAATAGCAATAATATAATTTTTATATCTTCTGTTATGTTGATAATGAACAATACTGTAAATTAAATATTTTTTAATATTTATATATACATAGATTAATATAATATCTTTTTAAACTTTTTAAATTTATTATATTTTAATTAAAATTCATTTTTACAGAGTAAATTTATTTTATAATTATTCAAACAATCTGTAAAAATATTTCAAACAGTGAATTTATCAAAGGAAAATAGATAGCAGAAAAATAATAATAATACAAGTTGTATGTTGTACTTTCTTGAAGAAATTATTATTATGTAGAATTTAAGCATTAGTTAAAAAGTTTATTATATGCATTGCATCTTCCCATGTGAAACATGAAACTTAATCTAAATAGTTAATTTTTCAAGAAATATCATTATTTCTATTCAGAAATATATATATCCTGAACATATAGTTTGCAATAGCATTGTAGTTTATGTTGTAATAGTAGCATTAAATTTTGACTTTTCACTTTTCTTGCAGAAAAACATTATATTATATTAACAACAATAGCCAAATTATATATTTTGAAATCATTAAATTTGTAATCAAGATTATTATTGTTTGAATCAAGTATTTTATAAAATTCAGTAATATTAGAAAATAAGATATTTTAATGAGCACATTAAATTGAACATATGATTAAAACAAATGGAAACATATTCAGATATAAAATTTATATATGAAATAAAATAAAATACATAAGAAATAATATTTTTATCATCATAAAGTTTTTTCTCTATATGAATAATTTGGATAATCAGCGTTGTGGTATATATAATACAGAAGTAATCATATATTTTAAATATTGGATACATACAATATATATATATACATATATTTCATTTATGAATATTTAAACTACCACAAATATAATTTGTATAAAACAGAATTTTGTTGTAATTGAAATATTATAGCTTAAATATAACAAAATTTTATTTCATCCAAACTGCATCAAAATTGATTAAGCATTCATAATAATAATATTTTATATTTTAATATTCATACATTATATTTAATGCTTTATTGAATAAAATATCAAGTATTACTATAAAAGGATAGTTTTATGAATTATTTTACTTCTTTACTGGAATTGCATTTTGGTTGAGTGTGTCAAATCAAAACACATCCAGAGAAGAATTGAGCAAAATAAATGACAGACATGCATAGTAAAAATGATTTTGATCATTTGTGCTTGTTAATTTAATTTTATTTATAAAGTGGTCTTATGTGTATTTTAATATTTTATAAATTGATCAACTAATATAATATTTTTATAGAAGAAAATTATTTTTATATAAATTTCTACCAATATTAATTTAATTAAAACATTTGTTTTTTAGATGTTTGATTTAAATGAATATTAAACTCAGATCTGATAAACAAATCTGATTCACTAATTAAGGAAGAATTTCAAAAACTTCAATGTAACAAGTAAAAAAAGTATAATGCTATGATCTTTGATAATACTGTATGTAGGAAATAATGAAACAGCTTATTCTATATTTTTCTTATGTCTAAAAAATAATTTGATTTTAAATTTAATCAGG